TGCATACTACTATTAACTATTTATTACCTACTAACTAACTTTAGCTAACTAACTTCCTAACTACCTAACTAAACTACTACTACTACTACTACTACTACTACTACTACTACTACTACTACTACCACCACCTACTACCACCTACTACCAACTACTACCACCTACTACCACCTACTACTACTACTACTACTACTACTACTACTACTACTACCACCAACTGCTATTACGACTACTACTACTACTACTCCTACTCCTACTACTGGTGTGGTCGTGGGTTTTCGTCCCCCTGTGGCGGTGGTAGGGTATTACTGTACTTTGGGGACACGCCAGCATAACGCCAGTAGACTGTGAAACCCTGCACATAATTGCCGAATTTGTCGCAGGGGTCTTGGTTTTCAATACAACAAGCAAGGCCAATCTTAGGAACAATGCTACTGATATCTACTAATTATTCAGGCTCTTAAATTCGACAGCTGCGGCTCTGTCGAGGCTTCACTGGCGAAGGGGGGTTCGCTTCCTCCGGCTCACCGGAGAAGCCTCGAGAGATGCGGGGTTCAGGGCTTTGGGTTTTAAGGCTTAGGGTTTGGGTTTAGCGGTTGTTTTGCCTCCCCCTGCAAGGACGAACCTCCAAGTACGACGGGTTTAGGGGTGATAGGGGCTTAGGGCTTGAAGGTTTGTTGAGGGTTTAGAGGGGTTCAGGGTTGAGGGGGTTTGGGTTTCTTGGGGAAAAAAGGTTTTGTTGAGGGTTTAAACGGGGACGCGAGATTTGTCTTTAAGGGTGCAGGATACCGGGCGCGAGAATTACGTTGGGGTTTTGTTAGGATGTGGGGCTTCCGATTTCATTAGGGGTTTCGATGTACTCTCGTATCCACTTCATCCAGGCATCCGCTCAAGGGTCGGGGTTTGGGAGTTCGTCCTCCTGGATGGAATAAGATTGAGGTTTCCGGGCTTAAGGCTCACACTGCTTTCAGAGATAAGCAGTTTGTTGCTTTTTGCCGAGTGGACTGCACCGACTAAGGCTTGCATTGCCACGAAATGCAATCACAGGGCACGGATTGAACATGGGCGTGCTGAAGTACTGGCATGGTTTTGCCCGAGCAGCATTTGGTGTTTGACGCAAGATTGTTTGTTGACATGAAGCTTCGTACAATCAGCGCATGAGCGATAAGTGTATACCCTGTAAGATTAAGAAAAAATCAAGCTGCCAGCACGTGGATCTTCTGGTGCAGCTGGCACTTCTTCTGGAGCTTCTTCCACGGCCTCCGAAAAACCGTAAACCGACACAAATTTGATTGAAGCCCTGTGAGCAACAAAACACGTTCTAATGCTAGCCCTGCAAACCCCTAATACATAAAAATACCACACATATAACCCCAGAATACCTTTCTAAAACCGTGTGGAGGTCGAGCAAGAAACACGAAAGCCAGCTGCAGACACCTCGCCTACCCGGCTGTGCTCACTTGCGTGTCCACGAAGATCTTTGCTGTTGCTTAGAGCAAAGATCCAGGTAGCTAGACAGATACACAGGTAGATAGGTAGATAGATAGATAGATCGATGGATGGATGGATGGATGGATAAATGATGAATGGCTCGCTGGCTGGCTGGATATTAAAAGAGTACACATACATACGTATGGATGTATATATACATATACTTACTTCGTCGTATAATTTGAGATGTTTATTCAGTTGTTGTTCGTTGTTTGTATGTTTGTATGTATGTTT